TTAGAAAATTTTATCATATTTTGTGCGCAATGATTCAGCGACATGGACGTAAACGTTTCGTTGGTGGTGTATCACTTTGGATCTGTGTTTCAATGTGGTGTTCTAAAAAATGAATTTTACGTTGTTGATCGGTTGGTTTACGAAGAACCGAAACGAGGTTGGTGGCTTGTTTGATTCGACGTTGTTTGAACTGAAAAAGAATGACTATGTTTTAATTCAAAATTTTTTTTATCGTTTACCATCTAAGGATCACGTTTTTAACCTCAGGCTGTTACATTATTCCGTCCTTTAAAATTACGATGTTTATACTTCTTAAACTTGGAAATTTGTTCAATTGTAAAAGCTTTGTGAGCAAGAAGATACATGAAACCTCTACTAAATTTTCATGAATTCAGTATATTCTGCACTATAATGATAAATAAAATATAACGTGTTTCTCAACAATTTCTTGAACATCTGGTGGCATCTGTTCGAGATTTTTTGGGCGAGCTATTTTTTTTCTCCATTCGTCCACTTCACGTTTAATTTCTCCATTACTATCCAAGGTGATTGGACGCTCAATTACAGCCCGAAAAAGCGTTAAATGAATACTGTATGACGGTTTAGTTTTAGAATTTATCCATTTTTTAATCATCGTAAAGGACCATTTAAATGTTGTCGTTTCGAACCAAATGCTTTATGATGGATAAACCAAATTGATCAAGCAGTGGTATTTCCAATGTATAACAAATACCTGAAAATTTGCTCCGCATTCACGTATCATTTTCTTTGCTACATTAACATCTGATACTGGATTACCATTGATAGCTATAATATGATCGTAAATTTTCAAATAATCTCCGGCTACAGTATTTTCGGTCACATCATGAATAATGATTTTATGCGCTGTGACATTTGCTATCTGAAGAATGGATAAGTTTGATATGGTTTTAAAAAATAAATGTGCTATTTAATATAAATGAGTGATTTCAGAGAATAAAGTAAAATTTTGGCTTCAAAATAATTTGAATAAAGAGTGAAAAAGTTACTCTTTGAATCGATATGTTTTCTACATTTGAGTTGCTTTTTTTAATATCACACAAATAACTTTCTGAACGCTATGATCTGTGGCACTTGAGAACCGATCAATCTTCATAATTTCATCTTTTGAAAATTTATATATTCTTTTATAAATTTTAACTGACTAAGCGTTGCATTATCTTCTTGCTACATAGTATAGCTCAGTTATTTTAGGCCCAATCTGAAGAACTAACATTTAGCCCAAATGGACGACCTGCACTTGAATCATAGCGAACATTCACAATAATATAATCATATCCTGCATGCCTTTTGATTATTTTTTCAATATTTGGTGGTAAAAGTCGTTTCTCCAATTCCAATTCACGTTCTGCACTACGTTCAACGATAATCTCAAGAAGAAAAATATAACATCAAAAATTTGTATTTTATAATATCGCATTTTATTTGCTGCCGTTAATAAAATAATCCAAAAAAAGGGAAAGATTATTCTGTTGTTACATTGTTTTTTAGTTTTCTTTGAATGATCAAAATAAACAAGTATATATAGGCCAACAAACAAAGCTTACTTAATCAGTCTTATCATTATTTTTTTGTAATTCAATATCATGATGATAAAAAAGTTGCATTGAAATAAGTAAGAAATAAAAATGTGCAAAAAATATCTAATTGCTTGAATTTTCATGAAATTCTCAGCACTCAAAAAGATGGAGGTAACAAAATTTTAGATTTTTGAAATTTCACTGTAAGAATTAATCACATGGCAAATTACAAATTACATTTTTAACATCGTCCATCATTTGTGATTGCATAAATTTTGTGGTGAAGAAATGACTAAACTACTATTCTTGCTCATCCATTAATCAAATAATGATCGAAGATTTTTGAAGTTTAAAATTAATGTTAAAACTACAAGCATTACATTTACTCGTCCACCAGCAGTAGCATCTTCGAATAATTTAAAAAACTGATTTCGATCCTTAATTGGAATACCATTCAATTTCTTGATTACATCACCAAGTTCAAATTTACCCTGTGCATGTGACTTATCCATAATACGTGAAATTAACAAATTTTCATCCGGTCGTACACCTAATGCTTCACACGGTGCCATCTGTATCAAAATTTACCATTAAACACATATCACATATCATCTTTACTTAACTGTTTTACTCTAATAAATGAACATATATTTTGCAACGTTTTAAAGATTTCATCAATTTGTTAATTTTAAATAATATTGATTATTAGATTAGAAGAATTGAAAGAACTAACAGAAAGTGAAATAAGAACTCTATAAATGGTGGCAGTAACCGATGATGATGCACCAGCTGCTATTTCATTATCATCATTTTTAACAACATTTCTTATAACGTTTATTTCCAGATCTTCATTGATTCGTCGTAACAAATCATAAAATTGTTCATCTTCTTTCAATTTTACTCCATTTATATCAACTAATTTATCTTGTAGCTATAAAAGAAAAAAAACAACCTCTTTTTTTTCATATATTACTCATAATTTATTAAATATTTTAATTGAATTTTTCAATAAAATCAAATTTTTACATATTTTCAGTTGCTTTTTTTTCAATTACTTCTGTAACTTTCTTTTTTTTTTTT